CACAAAATGTAGAAATATATAAAGATGAAAAAAATGTTGATTTATTTAAATATATAAAAGAATTTTTAAACTAACCGAAAAGAAAAAAATTTACAAAGGAAGAAAATCAAATGACAAATAAAAATTCAATTCAATTCCATCATAATTTAAAGAACATATAAATGTCCATAAGTAATAATTGTACAACAAAAATTTACATTGCAGTTTTCGTGTTTAAATTTCATATGATAATAATTTTTATTACTTTTTCCTATAAAGGATTGAAATTGTTTTTATAAGAATACAAACGAAAACATGTAAAAAAAATTTATGTTAAAAATGTTTAATTATAAATTATTCTAAAAATTCTGAAAATGTTACAAATTTCGATACAAATCTTTGATTAAAAATGCAATATAGGAACAGCATTCCAGATAAAACATCACAGATTTTTTAATATGTATGTAAAAAATGTAATAAATATAATTTTATGAAGGTACTCTACTATATTTTTTATGTATTTTAAATTTAATATATCTAATATTTTGCAAAAAAATATTACTTTTAAATATAATATAATTAATATAATATGTGCCATATATATTGTAAATTAATTATTAAATAGGTGCATTTATTATATTTTATTATGCGAATTTAATAGCTATAGCATATAAATAATTTTTTTAAGTACTGTAATTAAAATTAATATACCGAAAGTACTTTAGTATAAATGAAATATATATTTGTTATATATTGGTATAATTTATATTAAAAATATATTTTATAACTTTGTTACCTAATATTTTATATTTATTGGCACCTAAATTTGTTATTAAAATACATAATTAATTAATATAATTACATAAAAATGTATATTTTAAATTATACTAATAAATTACATGTAACAATATTTTAAAGAATAAAGAAAATTATAAAAATAGCTTATACTTCAAAACAATTTTATAATTTTATGTTTTGTATACCAAACAATATATTTTAATTTGTTGTTATTTTATATAAATATTCTTCAAAAGCATATTGAAATATTTTATATATAATGTAATTAAACTATTGTATTATTTTTTAAAATACTTTTAATACTAATGATATAAATAATTATTGTAGTATAACCTAATGAAATTCTATATACTATATATATATGTGCGTGTGATTAAATTATTAATATCATACAGAATTGATTTGTATTATGAATGACTGAGATTAATTTATTCTTACTACGAAACTTGATAAAGCTTTTATATAAATACTGGTATAAAAGTTCGATATATTTAATATATAATATAATTTAATATAAAATTTCGAATAAAAATTAAATGACTGAAATGCAGCTGTTTTTATCTATGATTAATAAATACGTGATACTCTTGAAGGTTAAAACTACGTTGCTAAGGACGAGCTTGTTTTGTTTAAGCAAAGTAAACAGGAAAATATCGTAGAATGTCACCTCATTACTATATATATTTTTTTAGTAATCTAATATGACGAAATTTTGTTTATAACAATATATTATATTTTCTTATTCAAAAGTGATTATATTGTTACAATTTTAAAAATTATTTTAAATTTCAAATTTCAAATTAAATGTTTCCTTTTAGATTAAGTATATTTTTATCTACAATACATGTTTTTGAATTTTTCTTCGTTATTTTTATGTTTATTAATTGAAAAAAATATTAAATCTGTGCTAACAAAACAGTAAAATAATTGTTTAAATATTATGAACGCACTTGACTCTTAAGTTCAGGTATTTTAGCCGTCGTAGTAAATCTAATTAATGATACATTAAATGCAACTTGTTTCTATAATGGCGATGAATGGAAAACAATGACTTCTTTGATACTAAAGTAACACAAAAATTTTACGTGAAGACTAAGGGATGTTTTGTTCTTGGCATCATATGATACAACCAAATTTCTGAAATTTGCACCTGTATTTTTGAATGTTAATTGAAGAGTTAATTCATATTACATAAGTTAACTTCTTTGATAAGATAGTACATTTTTAATAATTCTTGAAATATGTTTTTAATAATGCTATAAATAATTTAATTTTATACAAATGCATTTAATCTTTAATTTAGTATATCAATCAACATATTCATGCATATATGTATTAATTGATTAAACATTAAAAACACTAACCTAAGCAGAAATCAGTCTTTTATTAAATATAATGTGGAAATACATGAATTTTAATTTTATTTATAATCTCTTACGATATATTAATCATAATTTAAATATATAATAATGATAATTTAAAAATATTTTTACATATTGAATTTTTGAATACCATTTTTTTTAAATATAATTAAGTGGAATCAGTTTTTAATAAATTAGAGGGCATAATTTATATATTTATTTTAATTTTTTTAATTGTATATACATAATGTATAATAAATAAAAATTTGAAATATAAAAATACAAAATCGAATACTTCGTGGATACACAGAATTAATTACCGCTCTCAAAAATACATAAAATAATTTTATTACTAAGCTAACGTTTTCATGGTATAAATTTAACATAAGAATAGAAGTAAACCGAATATGAAATTATTAGATAGATGAAGTTATAAATACGAACAAAAGTAAACGAATATATTGTGTTTTATGTTGTGCAAAAATATATTTCTTATGAAACTGTTCAAGAAGTATATGTACAATGTTTCTATTTATTTGCACATAAATTTTTTCTTGTAATAGTATATTAAATTAAAATTCGATTTCATATTAAAATGACCACTAAATAAACATCCAAAATCAGGCAACAAATTAACTTACAAAATTAATATTAAAAATATATGGTTTAACATCATTTTTATCATAATAAAATATTATTAAAATAATATTATTAAAAAAATCTTCGTATGTTGATTTTCACTGTATTATTATCTCTTCTTAATCATGAATTTAATATTAATTCTGTTTTGAAATATAGACAGTAAATATATAAAAATCTTAATTATCGTTAAATATAAAAATATATAAATATATAAAAATATATATATTATGGAAATTTTTAAAATATTTATTTAATTTAATGGGAATTAAAACTTTGAATAAAGGATGTACTTTTGAAAAAATACGTTTAGTGACCCGTTTAACATATATAATATGAAAGTTATAATCGAGCGTTATAAATATAAACGAAAGTTATAAAAGCGAAAACCTTTTAATGAAAATCATATTTAATATTAAATATTATTTAGTTAAAAATCTTAAATATTATCTTAATTTTTCAATTTTTTTTGTTAAATATTATTCTTTAATAGTAGAGGTTCGAGTAATATTTTGTATTATTGTATTTTCCATAAATTACATACTAATAATATTATTTTCAATTTTTATTATAATCGATCAATTTACTTAATTTAATTGATAGCTATTCTATATAATACCACTATATTTTGTTTTACAACTAAATATTAAAAAAACAGCTTGTTTATTATTTCTATAAATATTCCCTACGTAACATTTTTGTGATTTTTAAGTATATAAGCGTGCATTGAGGATATAAATAACTATTATGTATCAATTCCAAATTTATTGCAAATATATCTGTATCTAATAAAATCACAAAGTGAGGAATTCTAGAAGCTTACCGTTGATAGCTAACAATATAGATCGAATAAAAATTCTACATTTACTATAAAAGTTAAAGAGAAAAGACAGCATCAACTCGTCCAAAGTAATTAACATATTAATTAATAAAGTAATTAACTCCAATATGTCAGGATGCCCTATTAAAGTATTATGTTAATATTTTTTGAGAAATGACAAAGCCATTTATCTGTCATCTATCTATTTTTTCATCTAACTTTTTTCCATTCATCGCCATTATAGAAAAAAGGTGCATTTAATTATATCATTATAAATAAATCATGTATAATAAACGGTACGATAATATATTCAATATATAGTATATGTCATTTATATAGTTGTATAGATATTTATATAATAGATATTATATGTATTATATAATTCAATATATATGTATATATATATATCATATAAATGTGTGTATGTGGAAAGGAGTGCCAGCATATTATATTTTTATGATTAATTAGAAACAGAAAATCAAATAAAAAATTCTAATAATATTTCAATAAAATTTTAATTCTATTCAAAATTAAGATTTTTTATGAATTATGTATTTCGAAATAGTTAACATTAATTATAGAGATTAGAATAGTACAAATTATAAAAATATGAAAATGTATGGTCAATATTTGTTCGCATATGTATTTCCTATATACATAATTATATATTTCGTATATAAATATAATATTTCGTATATCTATAATTTGAAAATGTAAAGAAATTAAAATTAAAATTTTAAATTTTCTAGTTAATTCATACATTTCATAATATAATATATTTGTAAATTCATGTTTTCAGATATTTAAAATGTACGTATGGTTCAGAAGTTATAATGGTTATACTAATCTTCTAATTGCATTTTTGTTTAAAACTTGTTAAACTTATATAAAATGCATATATATATCAGAAATATATTAAAGCAGAGAAAATTAAAGAAAATAATCATTTTATAAAGAAATCATGTAAAAAATTTATCATTTTATTGTTATTATTATTTAAGAAATTTTCGACGAATTTTTTAAAATGTTAATAACTTTATTTCAATGTTTAATTTAATTTCATATTATTCTTATTGCTATACGAAATCAATAACATGTCGATAAATTTCAAATCATTATTAAAATCTTAACAATTTTTTATGACATCCGCCATGATGAAGGACATTGGTAAAACTAGGTACAACGCACTTTTACTGTAACCACATCACGCAATATTTATGGCGGCGCCACCCGTCTCTCCCTCTCCCTTATTGTCTATCTTTCTCACACCATTAACGGTAGCATTGCGAAATACTACGTGAATCAGCCGCTCGTTGACACGGCAGAGCAGGAGGACACGCACAAAATTTTATTGCGCAAGGTTCCTCGGTACAAATAATCGCACATTCGGAGCTTTAGCAACGGGGAAAAACATGACGTTTCCAAAGCAGTTGATGGAGACAAATCAGACCAGAATGCTGCCCGGATGTACCTGTAAGTTTCCCACAGAAACTCTCTTTCCAATCTCCTAATATCCGCGACCTTAAACGTCCTTGCCACTTTTTTCTTTACCTATTTCATCCTGGGTTGCGAATGTGCTCATATCCTTTCTCCGATAGTGCGAGCATGTCGATTCTCGCCTGCGCGTGAAGTTCTTGCTACTCGAAAGGGTCTAACACTCTTTTAAAGCAATGAACTGCTTCAATGGCGGCTTTCGTTTATTTATCTGTATGTAAAAAGAGTAAAGAAAAAAAAAGAAATATGAACTTCGACAAAGGGTGTTATACTTTTTATATGGATATTTATTTTTTTTTATTTCTTCGCCTCTTTTTATGATCGGTACATTTCTTCGATTTCGATTACAAAAAATATCTTCCTCGGTCATTTTGATTTCTAGTAATTATCAAAACGGCCAAAAAATCTTGTTAGCAACAATGTTGTAGTCCTTATCGTCGCTCTGTACTTGATTTCATATACAATTAAGGTCCAATTTGTTAAGGTCGGTGACTTAAAATCATCAGTGTTTAGTAATATAACTTTTCTTTTCATATTAACAGAGAAGAAAGAGTAGTAACTTTAAGACATTGTTTTTAAATTGTTTTTCTGTTATATACTATATATTTTGATGAAATCTATAGCGATTAGTGTCACGATATTTTGTCAAATAAAAGGAGATTCGGCGTCCAAAATTTATGTTAAATTTTTCAAATGTTTAGTTTTTACATTTCTTATCAATATCTTTTGGAAGATAATAAATTTATATCAATTTGAAAAGATTAACTAAATGTTTATTGATTAAAAAAAAATTATATTTATAAATTTTTTAAAAATACGCGGCATTTTAATAATTAATTTAATTTAAAGAAAAATATGGACGCATTTGAAATGTTTCCGATTGAGAAGGTATTTTAATTAATATTTTCAATATTTGAGATGTATAAACAAACTATATAACTTTATTATAATTACAAATTAAAATTATTGTATTTACAGAAATATTCGTATATTAACAAATTAAGTGATACTTTGTTTAATATATATTCAAAGCTTCTTATATTATATATTTCAGTGAATTTTAGTATACTGTTTAATTGAATCTAATGAATCTAAATATTTTTGTTTACTTTTTATTAATAACTCAATATAGCTAAGTACAAAATGTTTAAATTTGCTACAATTTTAATAAATATTAATTTTTATTTTTCTACATTTCTTTATTGTAATAAATATGTTAAATTGTAAGAATACGTAAGAACATTTTTTATAATTTTTATATATACGTGTTTAATAGCAATAATAAAATATATCACATTTATATAAAGGAATATAATTAACTGATAATAAAGTTGTACTGTTTATGTTAAAATCATATATCTTATTTATAATAAAATATAATACTTATATTTTATATTTTGCTGTTATGATATAAGATTCTAGTGATTCGGTTTCAAAAAATAAGCAAGACAAAACATCGACATTGAAGACAAGACATTCGTGGAAACTAAACTTATTTCGTTAACAGATTTCATAGAAATTAATTGTGAGAAAGTAATAGCTTGAATTCTGTCACTATCGTTTACAATATTATTCGTATTAGTGATAGATAGCATATATTGATGAATTCTTTGGATGGATGCTTGTTTTAATACAACGTATCATGGTTCAAATAGGGGAAAGTCAAACCGAGAACGTGCAGATGCCTGTCGAAGCGGGTCGGCCTCTCCAAGACGACATCATCAGGTACTAAATGTTTTTCTAGGACGATAAGCAACCGCGTACGCGCGTGTACTATATCTTGATTAACGTCGGTAAAAGATTGAACGATTTTCGCAGTGTCTACGAGGTCTTTGTAAAAGATGATGCGACTGACGTCGAAGCAACTTCCGGCAAACCAGAGGTATCCGTCATTTCCGCTTTGCCCTCTGGGACATCACAGCGTCACCAATTCATTCAAGTAATCTTGTTTAATCTTTTATTTTATTCTTTCTGTTTCTATATCTCTTCCTTTTTCGTAGCCCTCTCTTTCATTATATATCGCGAGCGCGGGACTTTATAGTTTCATAGCTTATTAAACTGTTTGGTATATCGCATCATTGATCAGGGTGAATGTACGTTGGATCTGGATACGATTGACATTATCAGTGCAGATGGAGATGCTGACGAAGACGACGAAGCTGTCAACAATGAGAATCGGATACGTGAAAAGGACTCAGCTGCGTTTGAGGTCATTATTATATTTTGAACGCGCTATATATTATAAGCCAAACATATTAAAAAATTGTAATTAACTAGTTTGGTTTACAACCTGAATTGTAGTTTATCATATAAAGTTATTTTATTTTTATTTTAAAATATTTTCGTATTTTTTTCATAAAATGATCTGATATGAGATTATCTATTGATAAGTGATAAATATTGATCTTCGAAATAATTTTGTATTTTTACAAAATAAAGTTAAGTTATTTAATTATAGCTAAAAGGAATAAATCTCTTTATTTTATTCATGAAGAATAAGCTTAAATAAAATGGATAATTTCTTGTGTAATAAAAGAATACAAAGAAACTAAAGCAAAGTTAAAAATTGTTTTCAATTATATATACATTATAATCTTTCATTCTTTAATTTTATCATTTAATAAAAATACAAATTATTTATAAATTCAAATGAATATTTGTAATTTTTATAAGCATACAATTAGCATATCTTTTATACGTATTATTTTTTGTATATACTTAGCGTATTATATGTTTTTCATACTGTAAATGCATAAAAATAGTATTAATACCAATAAATTATTTATACGAAAAATTGAATTATTTTATGTAAATGTATATTATTTTATAAATTCAGATTATTGAAATAAAATAAATTTTGCAATAAATAAAAATAATATTGAAAATATCTGCGTTAGAATAGTATCGTAGAAATAAATGATAATCAGTGCCCAACACTTCATAAAAATGAAACGAATTTCATAAAACGTAAAATTAAGTTTTATAGAACGATAAATAGAAAGTTGTAATTTACAATAAAAATTAAAATTGAAATTCGCAATAGTTTATCAGATGAGTATTCACTGATTTATAAAATCCAGCCTATTTGAAATTTAATGATATTAATTAAAAACCCTTATTACACAGCTCAAAAAGTTAAAGTTATTTGTAAATGTTTCATTATAAATTGAATTGTAGACTCCACAATCAGTGGTCGTAGCCTCGGAGGAAAATATGGTAGTATACAGTCACCCTGTCCAACGATCCTCTTCGAATGCCCGGCTAATTGATAAAGATGATCCCCGATCGAGGCTACATTATGTCAAATATCTGAAGCGTGATGGCAAAACCTTGAAAATCTGGGAGTGTGGAATATGTAATCTTACATTTTATCGATTTTTTTTATCAAATGCATATTTTGATATTTAGATTTATTTTTATTTATTTTTATTTTAATAAAAATATTCAACCATACAGTTAATTATTTTTTTATTTTTATGGAATTGTACTGATGTGGTTATCTTTTTTTTCAAACATAATATAATATTCATCATATTTTTCTATATTTTACAATCACAAGCACTTAGAAGACATTTTTAATTTGTTTTATATAATGAAGTGAAAAATAATTATTTGGGCTTAGTAAAATAATTTTTAATAACATTATTTATTAAGATTGTAAAAAAACTTTGATATTTTAAATAAGAAATTTAAAATAAAGTAGGAAATTGTTTTGTAAATAATCTAACAAATTTTAAGAATATATAAAAAATTAATTACAAGAATAAAAATAAAATGTTTATTTGTAAAAAATAGAATCGTACTGTTAGGAGCTGAATTTATAAAAAAATTAAAATAATACTCTAAATTGTATATAAATAGTTGAATTCATTCATTTTAGCTTTAAAGTTTTCCTACGTATTTAATTACGATATTTAATTAATTTTTAATTATATAATCTACTGTTATTGTGTATATAATTATTGGGTACTATATGTATATACTACCCTAGTAAAATAAATATGAATAAAAAGAACGAACAACCTTATTCTAGATAAATAATTATAAAATTTAGCATCATGTTAATTGAAAAGAGAAATGTTTTTTATTTTTTATAATAATATATAGAAATAATAATAATAGTACTCATAAATTTTCTTAATCTATATGTTACGTATAATTATATATTATACGATTAATATATATGAATAATAATATTATATACGAAATAAATAGAATAGTTACATATTTGATTACTTTTACTTATATTCTTACTCATTAAATAAATGTATCCTATATTCTTTTTAGGTTTAATCTATGTAATATAAATCTTAATTTATATTCCTTGTTATTTTTACAATGCTTTGTTATTATTAACTTTGATTTAAATTAAGTTGTGTGAAATATAAATCATACAGTAAAATTATATTTCTTTTACAATTAAAAATATAATTAATAATATTGATAAATGAAAATTATGTTTTTTTGAATAGATTTACTATTTTAGGAATTAATAATCTCTGTATAAAACGTAAGACCCTTAATTAGTAATATTTTATTATATTTATATAAATAATTTTTACATTATTATTACCATTATTCATTTGAAATGTAAAATATATTTATTTTATTAAAAAAAATTAATATTTTACCAAATATATGTTCTTAATTAAATAATACGATAATATTTACAATTGAATTTCTGATTGAAAATCATGTAGTATTGTTACATTTTTAAAATACTAATTTTAATAAACTTGAGAACAACGAAACTTGAAAAGAAATTTTAATACATCATAAACGATGAATAAATTTTTTCAGGTTCTAAAGAATTTCGACATCAATATACACTAATGCGGCATTTACCAACTCACACGGATGAGCGAAATTTTAAATGCGACGCATGTGGTAAAGCTTTTCGTCAGCTTTCGACTCTCAGCCAGCATAAGGCAATACACAGCGATGCTCGCCCTTACATTTGTGAATTCTGCAAGAAAACCTTTAATAGGTTGATTATTTTATTAATACTCACTTTTACTTTATATTTTTAAAAAAGTTTTGTCTTTAAATACTTGCGAAAATACAACATACATCTTTTAAACATTGTTTTTTTATTGTAGGGTTTCTACATTAATATCACACCGCAAAACACATTCTGAACATAAACCGCATAAATGTCACCTCTGTGGGAAGGGATTTCATCAGAAAGGTTAGAAGATTTTAACCCGCTCTATTTAATCTTTTAGAAATATAGATTATACTTTAATATATATATATATATATATATATATATATATATATATATATATATATATATATATATATGTTTTTAATTATGGATAAATTATAATGTTTTTTATTTGTTAAATTCAAGAAAAATTATATAAACATTTATAATTATGTTAGTTAAAGCTTATTATTCGATTATATTATCTATTATAAATTAATTAGTAGCAGGTATAGATTATTTTATATATTCTTTAAGAATAAATATACCAGTATACAAATGATATTTAAATTATTAATGTAAATATTACCGTTATTTATATTTATAGGCAATTTGCGCAATCATGTATTTACACACACGAATGAGCGTCCTTATAAATGTGAACTCTGCGGCAAGGGATTTAATCAGATGTCGAATCTCGTCTGTCACAAGGTCAAGGCTCACGCCCACATCGAAAAAATGCAGTATACATGCGGCATCTGTGGTAAGGAGTTTCCCAGACGTTTTTCCCTACGATCGCACGAGGAATATAAGCATGGTATTAAGTATCGTCAGACCGCTAGTTTACAAAATGCTGTTAATGAGCCGAAAGGCTCGAAAAGGTATGCACACGTATGTTGGATTTAAGTATCTCATGTAGATTTGTGTACACTAAAGCTTGTGAGTTAAATAAATAAGGAGAGAAAGGGCGGATAAAGAATATTAAAGTACCATTAGAAGTTCAAACAATAATTCTATTCCATTTTTTTTCAGTAAAAGTGTGCGGGTTATTCATGTTCCCGAAGATGAGCAGCAAAACTCTTTTTCAGACCCACGAGATAAGGATATAAACATGGTATATTTGTATAATAAAAACTATAATAAGAATTTTATAATTATACAAATCTTTTATTATACAAAGATTTAGAATCAAAATGAAATGTTTTTATATATTGAAAACATACCACTTCATTATTACACTACATTTTAGTTATCAAGTCTTATTTACTGTTATTTAATGTTTCCTTATGTTCAATTAAAGAAGTTTATTTAATTTCAACATTTCTAATTATAACTACATAATATTTTATCAATATAATAATTTTACAGTTAATACAAAAAATGATATTAATACTTACTTAACACAAGATTCCTTTTATTCAAATTATTTAATGAAATTATTGAATATATATATATATATATATATATTTAAATTAATATATTTTAATTTATTTGCATTTATATATGCACGAAAGATATTGTTATTTATACATATGAAGATTTGATTATTCTTAATGTTATATAAATTTTGTTTGTTTATATTTTGTTCATTTTCACATTTTAGACATTGATTTATTTTAATAAATTATTTAAACAAATGGACTTTGATGTGTCAAGTTTATAGTAGTCTAACTAAATTAAGCTATATGTAAATAATATATCTAAACAAACTATTTTAGAAGAAAAGTAACTCTGCACAATCAGTTTATTATAAATAATATTATTTTTTTAGAATATAAATATTATTATATATAAATTTATAAAAATTTTAAAACCGATAATTTTTCGTACGAATGAAAACGATTTTCTAGGTCAATAATATAATAATGTTAGAATACAACTAATAAATAACTTATAAATTAATAATATTATAATAATACAAGTATATATATATATTATTACTATAATAAAGTAAAAATAATACAAGGATTCTTTATTATTATATTTATCCAGTTTAAAACAAATATATGTGTACTTACATTTTTGTTATAGTCATAAAAATATGTTTGTGTAATATGTTTTGTACTTACTTAATTTTATAATTCTATTTATACATAAATGATTGAAATAAATACATTAAAATAAATTAAATTTTTTTGAATATATAGATAAAGATAAATTTTCATGTGTTTTAAATGTTGAATTATGCTTCAAATGTTATACTTTTATAAAATTTGAATTAATTAAATTAAATTTTATTCGATTTTAATAACTATGTTGATTAAAAGGCTAAAATTAATATATATTATTAATTGATTAAATATTTGAAATAATTTATAACAATTTTGATTTTTTTACTTAATTAGACAGAATTTATGGAAAACATAATCATTGATAAAATTGAGACCAAGGCGATGAAAACAGCATTGTTACAAGGACAAACGCCATTTGCTTTATTCAAGCCTGCAAAAGGTATTCCTGTTTTAGTAAAAGTTACGTCAAGTGGAAGCTTAAATCATGTAAATATTATATTTATATAAAATAATATTTTTAAACAAAAATTTTTATCAGTTTTATTTATTATAATTTTTTGTAGAATGTAAGTAATTTGATATTGATTGATATATAATGACAAAGCCTTACTTCAATTTAGTTACTAACACCAGCTACAGCGGATGATTTAAAAATGTCAGGAAAAATGGACTCAAGTTCAGCTCAACTTTCAGATGTAGATGGATCGAAATCTGTACAAATAAAAGTTCCTGTTGTAGCTACAGTCACTGAGAAGCTTGAAGCTGATGGTAAAATTAATTTTTTGATTGAACCACCTGGTCCTGATCAAGAGCAAGGTTTTTAATTTAACAATATTAAATTATAAATATAGTGTTAATTTATTTTTAACTATTTGTATAATAGCGCATTTCATTTAAAAGCATAATACTTTTTTATGAAATTATTTTAGATTTATTTCATGTACAGTATTTTTACAAATATTTTGTTTATATTAGACAGAAATTAATAAGATTGATTAAATCATAAATAAATTAATTTTATTAATGATACAATATTTTTAAGAGTATATATAGAAATTTTAATTATGTAACATTTGGTGCTTTTTAAAAAAAATAGGCAAATTGCTTCTATCAAATACTACCTATAATTTTATTTGAAAGTAATATTAGTAATTAAAATAATAATATGCTTAACTGTATTCTAAAAAAAATTTTTAATTTTTAAATAAAATAGATATCTTTTATGAACAAATTTAATAGTAAATATTAAGTTTTTAGTAACTACACAAGAATAAAATTAAAATTTAATAATATGCAAAAATAAATATTAAAATCATAATAATATTACTTCCTTATTTATATTACAAAATATTAAATAATTTACGACGTTTAATAAACATATATAATTACAACAAAGCATTTATAAACAATTTTATAATAAGTATTCATCAATCAAATTATATTGCTTACATTATTTTAGAAGTAAAATATAATAGTAGTATTTGTAAATAAGTCTTCTAAGTTATAATTTATTAAATCGTTAAGTTATTAAAGTATTACTGTTATACAAATTTCCTCGAATTTTATAAACTTACTATGTATGATTTTTATTTTATTGTATGTGATCGAACTGATTACAATCTCATTTAATTTCTATAATAACGAAACTACAAAATAATGATTCTTATAATTAAGAGAATTATTAAATTCGATCATAAAGGATATATTAAAAATATGCAATACGTATGTTATCGATTAATGGGTATATTTTTATTTTATAGTTTACATGCTTCACAACTTGAAGGAAAATCAAAGAGATAGCCAACATCGTGACATCTTTATATACATATTCCCTTTCCCCCTCTCCACAGACAGTTTACTAACATCGATGGACTCACTTTCGGAGATTCTACCTTGTGATGACGACAATTATACCCCGACCGAGCATTTTCTGAATACTCAACCATCAGTAAGTACTCCTAATTCAAGTCATGCTGCCACCGATGAAGAACTTCTTGAATTGGCTGCTATCGGGGGAATTCAATTTGTACGTGCAACAGAAGATGGTCGATATGAGGTAATGACGAACAGTGAAGCCCGAGATTTAATGGCCCAAAATTCACATGATGTGAAGATATTAGGGGCTGAAGAGACAGAAGCAATCAACAGTGTTATAAATGTCCATGACGACCTTGACTATTTACCTACATCGATAGAAGGAAAGATACATCAGCATCAGCTGCCTGAAATAATATTACCGAATGCTAATGATATTATGGTGCTTGATCCAAATAATGATCAAAAAGCTTTAACACTTGGGGATATTGAAATTTTAGAGGATAAGGAATTAAGGCAACTTTTAGATACTAAGTATATAGGGGACAAATATGAACCAGAGACTGCTGGAATCACTTACTTATCTCCAGTCAAAATTGATGAAATACTCAACACAAAACCGATCAACCTAGAAGTGGCGTCAACTATTATGAATGAAAGTAAGTATCAATTAATATAAAATTTGAAAGAAAAAGAGAAATATTTAGAACGTAGTGTATAGTCGTCTAAGTAGTGCTAAATATGAAAAAATACATTATAAAAATACATAAATAATATTACAACTTTGCTATTTAAAGATATAAACTTGAATTAAAATTCTGGAACTTTAATTTAAAAATCGATACATAATAAATAAAGTTGATTTAATAATTTTTCAACATTTTTTATTCTTCGGAAAAAGGCAGGTAATTAATAATTATAACCAGAATTAGATATTTCATTAACTCATTCAAAAATTGATATTAGCTTAAATTATTATATTTTACCTTTTTTACAAAAATATCTAGGAAATATTATATATTATTTTATATTTTTAAATGCTTAACAAATTTTTATAAAAACATGCAAAATAAAGTAAATAAATTTTTTTATGAAAACTGTTTTTAAGTTAATATTATAGTATAATTTTGTAATTTTATACTAGTAATTACATAAATCAGTGAAATGTCTTTGTTTATCCATATTAGTGAAGTGATATATATTTATTTCACTTATTCCATTTCAAAAACGAATGTGTGAAGCACTTAAATTTTTATTCATATCTAAAAAATACTTTTAAAAAATTTAATAAATTTAAATAAGAAATGTAAATTATATTAAAAAAAATGTAATAATATTTAATATTATAATGAAGTCTTATCTATGTTTTATATAAGTTACCATGACAAATAAAATAAATTATTCATCAAATTTGAGTTAATAATACATTATGCATTTCCATACATACATAATGAATATTTAAATTCAATTGTAATAATATAATTTTAGATACATTTTTCTTTATTATTTATATAATTTAGTATTTAGTATTTAATTTAGTATTTAATTTAGTATATAAGTAAGTATTTAGTATAATAGTAGGTTTCTTTAATATTAATTATTTCTTTAATATTAATTATTTATTTATTGTTTATTATTATACAAAATATTATTGCAGATATAAATATGGTACCAAGTCGAAACGAATTACCGAATATTCTTAACCATCGGAGTGACTTACCAACAATAACAGCTATGTCCTTCTGTAGCCGAAATCCACAGCTACATCAACATCAATATGAACACCACCACCACCAACAACAACAGCAACAACCACAGCAACAACAATTGCAATATCAACCGTATCCACTTCAGATTTTGCATGAACCAATACCATTTTTAAAAAATAGTCAGAACTTTAATGATGAGCTCAATGCTATTTTTGGCGAAGATTCGCCTCCCATTATTGATTATTCAACACTGCCCGAGTATAATCCACGTCTGAAGTTGTCTGAATTCGAAGATGATCCAGAGTCTATTTTCTTTAATTTGGGTCAGTCAAGTGCCAAAGTAGTTGCACAGAAAAGTCAAAACTTGAAAATTTTTAATAATGCAATTGAAAATCAGCATAATGAAAAAATTGTTGATCGAACTATTGAAAATGCTATTAAAATAATTGAAGATAAGACCTCAACAACAGATTTAACTTCACAGTTCGAAGATTTTAGACTTTTGAATACATATGACCATTTTTTTAAGAATACGATGTACGATTCGCATTTTTCAAGTCTTAATACACTTGCAACTCCGCTTAGTACATTTATCCCTGACATGGATAATATGAAAAAAGATATGCAATTATTAGAAAAAACATTAGAATCGAAATTTTTTACTTCAGAAGATTTCGAAAATAAAGCTAATGAAAGACAGGTAATTTTGTAAACAATAAATTAAATAGGAATGTTTTATAATATGTTTTATAATTATTATAATAAATTTACTAATTTCAATATACTTAAAATGACAACAAAGTATGTATTCAATAAATGAATATAATACCTGTGAAGTTCATTAAAAAACACAATTATCTAAAAACATTAAATGGATTCTTTTATTTTTTTCTAAAAAACAAAATTTTCAAATAGAAGAAGTTAACTTATATTAATTGTTTAGTCATAATATTTAATGGCATTCTAAACTATTTATGTATGAATAAAAGTATGTATTAAGTTTATGATAAAAATAGATTTATAATTTTATATGTTCCATTTTACTATTTTATTGTATTTTATAATAATTTATAAATGAAAAAATGTAGCATAAATATATTTCAAAATTATGTATAGTTATAGAAATATTCTTATAAGTTTAAGGTCCTCGATCAAATTTCTACCGAAGGATCATACAATCATAATGGTAATGCAATTGCAAATGTATTATCAAACGTTGAAAATTTTTTCGATAAGGAACAAGAAAAAATGAAAATGGATAACGGAAATTTCTTACAAGTAAACAAGTGTGAGTTTGATGATTGTTCAACTCAATGCAATTCTATATTTTTTCCCTAGGCCTGCAGTCCATGTGGGCCAGCCGATTTCCTTTACTTTGAAAATCGTATTTCTGATAAAGAATTATCGAGTAGCCCATCTCATGTTTTGGAAAAGACCCAAAAGGAAAGTGAATTTACTTCAGGTGGATTACCAGACTTGGACTGTTAAGTGTTTGCACAATATTGCATCAATATATGTCTAATATTTTTGTGGTAAGATGTTTTAAAGTGCAGTGTATGCGAGCGATTTTTCTATTGAAATACAGATTTTTTGAAATTGCAAACTCTGAATTGATAGATCACAGCATAGATTTTTTACGCGTTTACATCAATGCAAGTATATTTTTTATTTTTTCACATGTTTTCATTAGAATATGACATATCTAATGAACGTCATTGTGCAGTTACCTGAATTTTGTTTTTTACTGTACACAAGAAAGCCTATTTTTAACTACCTAATTTAAACGGAAAGGATCAACTTAAAGAATTATTATGTATCTGTGAACGGTAATTTAATCTGCTTAGCTTCATTTTCCATTTTTTACAAACATTTTCATTCTGATTAAATAAAAATCGTGATCGTAAGTTTAAATATTTATTCAATTTATAATTTTCTTTCTTAAAAGAGTTTTATTCATTAAGTTAATATGATTTTTATAGGACAAAATTTCGAATTAAATATGCATAAAATTATATTTTTTTGTTGCGCTAATATCAATTTGTTGCGTATTATTGTTAAATTAAATTATTGTTTATAACATTAAACGTGAATTTTTAATTTTTAAAATTATTTATCATTAAGCTTTATCAGTGTACAATTTTACTAATTAATTTCATATGCATATATGCAAGATTATTTTTATATTGTTAAATTCTATTTTCCTGGAATTTAAGTTTTGGAGATTTAAAAGCTAAATAGAAAGTTAATAGTTACCAATAAATTATAAAAATAATTATTAATTTATATAAAAATAAATTGTTAACATTGTACTGTAATCTTAGAATAATAATAAAACACTTTCGGTTTTGATACTTAATTGTTTCAATTATTAATAATGCTAACATTTTTTGATACCACGATTAATTAATTATTTTATTCAGAAAGTACTTGTATTATTTTCGTGTTATGAGTCATTAATTAGAAAAATGTCGAATAAATAAAACATCATAATTTTGTTGTGGACTACTTTTAATAATGATAATGAATATTGATTATATAATGAACTGTTATTTACTACAAATAATTTGTTACTAAAATAAAATTTCAAAGAAAACTTTGCTAGAAAATTTTTTTTTATTTATCTCATATGTATATTTGAAAAAGTTTATTGATATTAGATAATAAGATATTTAATAATTTATATTAATTTTTATATAATAATTAATAGAATAAACCGTTTACCTAAAATATACTATATCTACATTACATGCTTTTAAAAGTAAATGAAATTGTTTAATTATGAATAAGTATTTATTTAGTGGGAAATGCTGGAAAAAATTTACAGCTTCTCATTAAAATTATTATATACTTAGAGTTTGTGTAAAAGTGACTGGTGAAATAAATATATATAAGAAACAAAAGTGGCCTAATGGGACATTTGATGGAATATTGAATTTAATTAATTTTAAAATATGGATCGCTCATACCTAAGATATAAACATATTTTTCAATTGTCTATATTTTTGTAACTTACAAATATTAGATTCCATTAGATGTTTATTCATATTTATGTCTCATGACACGAAAAATATCTATTTTATCAAAGCATTTTAATTGAATTAAGTATCTTTTACAGTTATCAGGTCTTCATTAATGAAGTTTATATATTGAAATATATACATATTTTAAATGAAACCAATTTTGTGGCTTAATTAAATTCTATTTCATTAAATATACCTTCATTTATTTCTGTGTGTTTATAAGTCGATTTCAAACATTTTTTCATGATTTTTTTTTCGTGACTGATCCAAGAACATTCTTATAGAGAAGATTTTCATACTATTGTATTAAACGAATAATGTGTATATTTTTTGCTTAGTTATTTAATTAGTACATTTTTCGTAAATTTCATTTTTTATAAATTCTATAAAGTTTGAAAATGAGATTAATGTTAAAGATTTACCAATTAGACTTGTAGCAGTACAGTGATAAATTATTGTATAAAATAAATATTATTATTCATTATTTATATACCAAAAACAATTCAATTTTCAAATTAGTATTCAAATAATCTGTTTAATTTTGTACTACAATGATTTTAAGTATATAAATGTTATATATTATAATTATTTATTGAAAAACAATTGTGTTCATAGTTATTTTTAATTCTGTTTAAATAATAGCTTCTTTTTCTCTTGATTTTTTATCTATTTATTTTCTAATTTATGAAAAATTTTTAATATATAGCTATGATGAAGGCATAGACATATTTGAACATTTGAACGTGTAACAAGTTTTGTTGCATGGGATGAAAATACATATTTCTAGTATAAAATCATAAACGTATAGACCAACACACATATAATAATTATAAAGAAAGAACATACGATTGAAATAGAGAATTTGCATAGAATTTAATTGATTTTAATTATCGACATTATTAGTATTCGATTTTTTATGTCATTAAATCATGCTTAATACTTTTATGAAATGTTATATTAAAACTATTAAGAATAAAATAATTTTTGCAATACCTCACTAATACTCTAAATTTATATGAATGACATCTATTGATTTAAAAAAATTAGACGACAATATTTTAGCGATAAATGAACTATATATTTAGAAGCCTGAAATCAAAAAATGATTCTTCAACATAGTGATAATATTTATTATTTAATTGAATAATGCTTTTACAATAAAGTTAGGAGAAATTCAACAATTTCAAATAACCTATTTTTGTTTGTAGCAAGAACATACAATGCATCAACAGAACCTTGATATAGATTGTTGGTAACATATTTTGTATACACTTAATTTGAATGATATCAATCAAAACTCTAAAGAACCCAGATTCGATAGTATATATTGTTATAGAAAGTGAAATTTATACACAACCCCTTTATAATACCTATTTAACATTAACTTTATGTTTTCGTATTTTAAGAAACAAATATAATACACCAAAATTATAGGTAGCTAATACCCATTTCATCAATTTAATCTTCTGGATCAAGAATTCTATATTTATCTTTCACTTATCCATAAAACTGATAAATAATAATACGTTTCTTACGTAGTAAAATTTACAATATTAAAATAAATACTATTATGACTGAAAAAAAAATATAAATAGTTTTAAATTATTCTCATCTAAATAAAAAATATTTATTTGATAAAACGTAGACAATATAACTAATTCTATTATGAATAATAATTCAATATATCATTATTAAAATAATTATAAACTTGATAAAACCTTTATGATCTTAAAATTATAAAAATAATAAATTTCTTCCGTAAATAAAAAAATTCATAGTTAAGAAAACGTAATTCAAAAGTACAATAAATTTAATTTTATATTAATTTTTATGTTAATTTTATCACGAATAAAACTTTTGTCATAATCATTACATGCTATCGATTAACAAAATTAATTAAAATCTTTATGAGCATATGATTTTGAATGTCATAATATAATCATATTGAAATCAATTTTTTAATTTTCAAATATTCTTATATTCATTAATTTATTTAATATTAATGATTAATTATAATTTAACAGTTCAATATAAAATAGATAAAGGAGATAGTTCGATATAAAAATAGAATAAACGATTTTTAATTTCTATTAATTTTATGATTCCATAAGAATTTTCATATACTACTATAAAATTTATAAATATAAATTTAATTAGTATTTAATAAAGTAAAAAACTAAAATTATATTATATAAAATTCATTCTTATTTATACGGAAAGAGAATGATGTCAATATTTATTTGAATCACTTATATATGTCAGTGCTATATAGAATGTATTGAAAAATACGGCTCACGGTATTGTAAGGAAATGAAGTGATTTTGGAAGGTAACTGGATAACGTATTTTACTTCAATAGCCACGACTATAATGGCAAAGAGCTACTAAAAGAGAAATGATTCGAATTATTAACTGTTCCTGATACATGAATATATGTAGATTTTATACGCTGAAAATTTTGTGTATTATTATATAAAAATATCTTGGTATAATTTTCTGATTTATGCGTAAACATTAGCTAAAATAATTGTGATTCAAAAAAGCGTCAAAGCTCGAATTTAATTTTTAATTGTACTTAGATTATAATATCCCTTTGAATACAGATTGAATAGTATTTATCGTAGCATCAATCCTAATACTGTATAATATTTTATTTGTTGTATATTTCCGTTTAAATTTATAAAGTATTTATACGTTTAAATAAATTATTAAAGAGAAATAATTATATTTCATAATTAATTGTTTGTAACAATAGTTACTATAATTTAATTCCAAATTAATATGAAGAATATAATTAGTAAATTTTATGTAATAAATATTTGGGCGACATATTAAAATACTTGTTCATATTCACGTTCATTTAAATTAAATTTCCATTGAATGAATTCTCGTATACATCTATTATTAATTAATAAAACAATATTTTCCTATATAAGATTACTTTATTTATATTTCATTTTTGTTAAATCATTTTTTAATACCTCTAATCTACGTGTATAAGGTACAGGTAGGTAGATTCGTCTACGTAATAAGGTGTTTGCATAGATTCACAATGAAAGAGATATGATATTTTCAATCGACTTTAAATTATAATGACAACTGTTTTTCTTGTAAATATATCATACTCTTAAAATCAACATTAATTATAATTGTTTATGAAAAATTCTTCATTTTTTTTATGAGTATAACGATATTATATTATCATTTAAATATATCTTTATTTTAATATTCTTTAGTATGATTTTTATGAATGATAAAATTAATTTAAGATTATTTGAAAATTATGATTAAGCTTAACATCAATTTTATCAATTAATTTTATGATATTAATTTTATTTCCAGAATTTCAATTTAAAAATAATTTAAAAATATGTAATGTCACGCTGTTCATTCAACGGCAATCTCCCTCGCTGAGATACGGGATTCTTCAACAATGAATATCACATTAAATATGGTACCAAATTTTTATTTGATTATAGATTTAATGATTGATGACAACTGCGTCATCGATAAAGATAATGATAATAAAATTTGTTTGTTCTTTATGTAATTTGGTAACAAAAATAGATTATCGTTTAACCGAACAAATTAACAAACTAGTAAATAATTTATCAATAAAACTATTTCTTTACATAAATAAAATATGTATATTTTATTCTCTCGTATAAATATATATATATATGTATTCAAAGATAAGAGAAGCAAGAATATAATAATACTTTCATCTTAATCTAACTATTTTTGATGGATGTTCTAAATATTGTTTGAAAACATAGTAATGGTATATAATATAATGCTCATAATATTTAAAAATTC